GCATATGCTTTCATAAGTACAGTATATGTTATTTTATCCATAGGAATTCCTTGTATACGCATATAATCAAAAATTTTTTGTGCATTTCGTATATTTTTTTCGTTTGCGAACATATCTATGAGAGAAGAATAAACAATGTTGTCTAGAATTACCCCAGATCGTTTCATTTCCTCAAATTCTCTCTGACCTTCCCTAAATTCACCAATAGTAACATATCCATTAATTAGAGATGTATATGCTTTTTGATCCTTCTGAAATCCTGAATTAATCATCCTTTTAACTGTTTGCTGTGCCATAATCATATTATACGATTTGCTATAGCCGTCAATCATTATATTGAAAATGTATTGGTTAGGTTTTATGTCGTTATTTGTCATCTGTTGCAATAATTTTTCGGCCTCATCCATTTTCTTATATTGTACATAGTTTTTTATCAGAATAGAATAAGTGACAACATCTATTATAAAACCTTTTGATTTCATCTCTCTTAAAATATCTTCTACGGTCAATTCTGCCAGTTCCTCAGATTCTTGGTATTTAGTAAGTTGACGATGATGTAATATATCCCTCCTAACATCCCTCATCGTCACTAAATTCAACAATAAGTTAAAAGTTCGATCAGAAGGCTTAACCAACCTTTTAACCATTATTCGATATTGATCAATCGCTCTTTCGAAATCATCTATTTTGTTTTGTCCCTTGATATATTGTATCAAAGTGTTATAAGAGATAACATCAGGAGTAATGTCATAAGCAGACATTTGAGTAAATATTTTTTCTACAGTTGAAATTCCGTAAGCATTTAAATACCCTTTCAATAACGTATTGTAAACTTTAACATTTGGGGAAATCCCGGATTTAACCATTTCATCAAAGTATTTGATTGCATCTTTCAGGTTTTGTCGATCAATATAGCCGTTGATAAAAGTATTGAAAGTAACAACATTAGGCTTTAATGCTGATTCTGATATCTGACAAAATATCTCACGTGCCATGGAAAAGTCATCAAGTTGTATGTACAAATGTATAAGCATGTTGTAAACTCGTAAGCTTTTCCAATCACGAGCATTTAATTGATTCATGATTTTTAAAGCTTGCTGCTTCTTACCAGAATGAACGTAAGCCGACATTAATGTAAAGTATGAATCTGGACTTGGTTGAATTTTCATTTCGATCATCCTATTGTAAAGTTTTTCCACATATTGGTAATTTCTTATTTTAAAATAACTTGACATTAATGTGTTGAATGTTCTCGCGTTGGGTCTAACTCTCATGGATGACATTGTTTCAAAACATCTTTCTGCATTCTTAAAATCATGAAGTTGCAAAAATCCATTGATAATGGTATTGAAAGTTACAACATCAGGTTGTAACCCTTTTTCTTCAATTTCATGTAATAAGCTTAGAGCGCCTGTTATATTCTTATTTCGTATGTATGCCAAAATAATGATATTGTAAGTTGATAGGATCGGATGAATTGATTTGGATTTCATATCTTGTAATAATTGATAAACACGATGTAGATTACCTATATTTGCATATATATAAATAAATTTATTATACGTGTAAACATCATATGAAATGTTCTTTTGACATATTTCAACAAAAATATTTTCTGCCTTGTCATACTCTCCCCATTTCCCATACATCGTTATCATTAATCCATATGTATATAGGGATAAACTCAAATTGACGAATTTCATATCACTAAAAAATCGATTTAGCCAATGTAATGCAAAATCTTTCGAATCGTAATCTTTCAATCGTGTTATTAATCGTGTGTAATCGTTCATATTAAGAAACCGCAAAGCGTCCTTTTTTGATAAATCGTCATATGTTGAAAATATGTCATCAGTACTCCTTATTTCCAATTTTTTTCGAAAACAATCGATTAAATGTTGAAGATATCGCTGATTAATTTGATCACATGTGTAAACAACTTCCAATTCTGTTTGACTTTTTTTTTCTTTCGTTGTTACTGGCGTAAGAGCTGAATGTTTTCGTCTCGTATATTTAGTTATTGCAAACCTCCAGTTCCACATTCTTAAATTAATAGACAAGGAAGCTTCTTCAAAAGTTCGTAAAAAATTTGAGGATTTAATAAGAGGAGACCAATTTAACACAATAGCTTTATTATATGGATAAGGTTGCCGAATAAAATGTTTGGACAAGATTTTTGGCACATTTCTATAAATTTGTAAAAAAAGTTTACGGGAGGTAACCATAGTATGCTTAGAAAGCCCTTCGTTTTGTCTCGGCCTTAAATTTCGATTCTCGATAGATTGATTCCGCATTTGGTTGTTCAAATTTACATGAAAAAAAAAAGAATAAAAGTACAACAAAGAAGACTGATAAAATCCAGGAAATGATTGAAAGATTATTTGACAAGATAATTAATCTTACAAATAGATTTATTTATCAAGGAATACTTAAAACCTTTGATAAAGTAGATAATACTAAAGGTGTTAATACAAACATTAAAGATGATGTATGACTAGTACTATAAAAACAGATGGAAATTAATTTAAAAGATTATCAAATTAAAAAAAAAAAAAAAAATTGGAAAGAATTATTTGGAATTAACACGTGATTTATATACGTAAAGTATCACAAAAATTAAATCGGCGATCCAGAAACAATGAACAATCTGACATTTATTTACTAAGCTAATTTAGCTTTTTCAGCTAAAATGTAGATCTGATCAAAAAAGATGATGATCAAAGAGTTTTTTGAAATCATTACAACTTCCTTTACTTCTTGTACTTATTGTTATAAATAATTAGTCTACCACGATGGAATCAATTTCAAAGGAATTTTCAAAAGTGGAGAAAAAGCAACAAGAGGTAGCTGATTTAACGGTTGACAACATTGAAAAGATGATTAATGAAATACAAGAAGCTCAAAAACGCTTAGAAAATGGTAATGTATTAATTCCTCATTTTTATAGATCAAATAACTATAATTTTTAAGTACTTGTCTTTTTTGCAGATCCTGAGAACGCCGGCGTTTCATTAAAGAAATTGGAACAAAATTTCAAAGAACTTGCAGCAAAAGCTTTAGAATCTCACAAAGAATTTCAAAAAGTAATAGTACGTTATGAGAAAATAGTAGACAAGGTATATAAAGGATTTTAATAAAGCTTATCCTGGTTTTATGCTATTATTTTTAATCATCTTTTATATTATTGCAGAAATGGAAAAATGACATAACTATTGCAAGTAACCCGGAAGTATTTGCCAATAAAGAAAAGGTTCTCAATACAACGGTGGCTTTACACTTCATACGTGAGGGCAGGTTTGAACTAGCAAATAGATTTATAAGGGTAATATAATTTTTTTTATTGATCTTTTTGATTTTTGTTGTTTTGTTTGAATTATTAAAAAAAGAATAAAATAAAAAATCTAATGAATACTAGGAAGCACAATTATGTATTCCTGATACAATACAGACACAATTCCACGAAATGTATCAAATTCTAGGAGCCATAAAACTCGAAAATTTAGAGCCTGCTATAGAGTAACGCTATTTTATTTTCCTTATTTGGTTGTGATCATAATTATGATTTATAAAAAATAATTTACTGTACCAAATTATTTAGATGGGCAAGGTTAAAAAGCAAAGAACTTGAAAAAAGAGGTAGCACATTAGAATTTGAGCTTCATCGACAGCGTTATGTTCAACTTCTTATTGATCGTCAAGAAGAGGCATTAGCGTATGCCAGAAGGAAATTTTATCTCTTCCGAGCACGTCATATCTTTGGTAATATTTATGCAAGTAATTTATATTTTAAAAAATAATAAAACTAATATAAGTGTTTTCGTTTATCAGATATACAACGATTGATGTGTGCCTTAGCTTTTAAAACTCGTTTATCAACATCGCCATATAAAGATCTTTTGTCTCCCGATTTGTGGATTGAATTACAAAATAAGTTTATGCGTGACTTTTGTAATCTTTTAGGAATGTCAAGTGAGAGCCCTCTATATATTAGGTAAATACGAAATCAGTAACTGTTTTTAGCGATAATCATCTCTAATAAATATATATGTTGATTAATTGATAAGTGTAACGGTAGGTGCGACTGCTTTACCCACAATCTTAAAAATGGCTACTATTATGAAAGAAAAGAAGAACGAATGGAGTCAACAAGATGAATTACCTGTAAGGTTCAACAGTAAGAATAAAATAAATTTTAAGATTTATCGTTTCAATATTAGAACAATCTTTACTTCCTTATAGGTTGAAGTCCCTCTACCTGATTATATGCGGTATCATTCAATTTTTGCCTGTCCAGTTTCTAAAGAGCAATCCACCGAGGAAAATCCTCCAATGATGTTGCCTTGCGGACACGTGATTTGCAAAGAGTCTCTTAATAAATTAAGTAGAGGTAATAGGTGAGTGAGTCATGTTCTTATGTTTTTAAATTTTTAGTTAGATAAATTTTACAATAACCTTTTTTTTTTTCCTAGTCGCTTCAAATGCCCGTATTGTCCTCATGAAAGCACAGCAAATCAGGCATTGCGTATTTATTTTTAATTAGAGTCGTAATATGTCGTTGGTAATGAATTAAGTTATAAATATAATATATTGTGAAGTACCTGACTAAATTATTATATGGAGCAAAAGAGAGTAAGTCCTGTTAGCTTCAATTTTTGAAATGAAAACATTTTTTAATCTTTTGAAATTCATTTAATTCAAAGAATCCTTGAATAAAGGAAAATTTTATATAAAAGATTTTGATCTTTAAGATGGCAAAGATAAAATTTGCGTATTTATAAGTTCCATGGCCATTATTTTATTCTTAATATAGTTTTAAAAAGTATAAAAAAAAAGGGAATAGGAAAATAAGAAATGATAATAATAATAATAATAATAATAATAATAACAAGAATAACAATAATAATGTATATATAACTTATTATCTATTTATCTATATAATATCTATATATATAAAAAGGGTCCTTATATGTGAAATGAATTTTCCAAATTAATATAGACCATTATGAAATAACCCCATTGTTCAATAATTTAGTATTAGTTTTATGAATATTACTAATAAGGGAAGAATTATTCTTATTGTTAGAGGAAGTACTGATATAATAATTACGATTATCTAAAAATTTTTCTAATATAATAGCAGTAATATAACCACCATCATGGGATAAAGGTTTAATTGTTGTAGTACGTGTTGGTAATGATGATGATAGATCGTATGCTTTATCTATATAAGATTTCCATTGACCAGATTCAAAATGAGATTTTGGCATTTCAACACAGATTCCTTGTGATTCCATTAAACGTTTTAATCCTAATTCTTCAATAAACTGAGGTCTTGAAATATAAATAAAAGGTTTTCCATGACCGATACATTCTGAACAAGTACCGTATCCCTAAAAGTTGGAAAATTCTTTTCATAAATATATTTTTTTTTTAAAAAAAAAAAAAAAAATAACTTTATACTTACTAATTTACCAATAACAGCATCGACAGCATTAGTTAAATCAGGTATATAAGCATCTTTTGGACAAGAATAAAATCTCTCAGGTAATTTAGTACTCATACTACCACACACAATAGCTATCCAATTATCAGGTAAAGAAGACGTGCCCCAATCTTCTATACCGACTAAATTTTGTCCACCAAAAGACACCATTAAAATTTTATGAGAATTAAAAATTTTTTTTGGTATACCAAGATTTTTTAGTACAATTTCTTTACAAGTTTTTGATTTACGTACCACCAGAGGTACATCAATTACATTACGATATTGTTTGAATAATTTGGAAGATGGAGAAAAAAAAGCATTAATATCACTAAGATAATTTACTAATTTTTCTTCATTATACAATAAAAACGATTTTTCAGAAGATGGTGGTGTTATAGTATTACAAGGATAAAGTTGGGTACCCGAAAATGATGGTATTGGTATGTGACCTGGTAATCTAATTAATAATTCGGAATGTTTATAATCTTCTATAACTTGTTCAACAAGTTTTTTTATTGTATTATCAAATTCATCACCTTCACATAATCCATTATACACCGCATCAAAAGTAAAGTTACTAATAATAACTGATGGTATTCCAGCCGCCGCCGCTGCTGCACTATGTAAAAAAAAAAAAAAGAAAACTTATTACAATTTGCTCACTTTTTTTTTTTAAAAAAAAAAATAGATATAAATAATATTTTATTTTTACTTACCATGGAAGAAAAGGTGCATCAGATAATACAATATCGGCTTTAAATTCTTTTAACCATTGAATTTCTCTTTCTAACATTACAGGTTTATTATCTAAAAATTTTATTAAATCATTAATAGTTTCTTGTCTATCTACAGTGTATGCTCTAGGTTGCTTTACTCCCGCATCTATCGGCGCATTTCTATATCTTGCTCCTAAATCTATTGCTCCTTGAAATATAAATCTTGGTGCATTTGATATGATATATAATGTATGATTTCTTTGTAAACTCAATATTTCTGATGCTACTTGCACTACTCTAGTGGCATGCCCAAATCCTATTAAAAGTGGTAAAAAATCCATTTAAATAAGATTGAGAAACGAAAGAAGCAACTTATCCTAAAACTTACCATGTCCTGACACGTAATAACAAAATACATAATTTTTTGGTTTTGGCATCACCTTTTGTAAAAAAGGTGATAAGGACCTCCTAGAAGGGATTCTTTTTGGCATAAATTTAATAAAACCAAAAATAAGTATAACTAGTATAACTAAACCCAAATATATTAAGGACTCCACTTTTCTATAGAAAAAAAAAATAAAAAAGAATGCAATTATTTTTTATTCTTTATTTTTAATTTTTTTAACGAAAAAAATGTAATAATGATTATTATAATGAACAACATATTTATATAAATTTTGTTACACCAAATTTATGTTCATCAAACTTCTATTCTGGTTGTTTCCTTTTTATACACTATATTTTTATCCTTTCAACCCTAAATTAGTCTAAATAATCTCCCTCCGAATTCAACCGCGTTATTTTTAGTATTACTTTATTACCAAATTTAATCTGTACTTCATTACAAGAATAAATAAATCTGATTAAAAAATATCAAGCAATATAAACAAAACATAAATAAAAACAATAATTGAACTAAAAGCAAATAATTTTATTTCTTGTTAAATGATGCTTTTTATGGTAAAATGAAAAAAAAAAGAACAAACCCTTCTATTTTTCTTAATAACAATAGGAAACCTCCATCCAAACATGGTCTTTTACAAAAATAAAACGTAAATACAAATAATATATATATATATATATATATATTTACTAATATATATTATAGATGTATATTATAATATTATATTTTTTTGATCTGCTCTTAAATGCTGTAAAATATAATCAATATAATGACAGAAGAAAAATGATATTTTCTTCTGTTAATATACGAAATAACAAAGTTTTCGCAACTATGCACCTTTCCTGTTTACCTCTGAATATTTTTAAAAAATTCACCTGTAATTCCGCAAATCACCATAGTTAAATATGATCTACTTGCAAGGTTTCTATCACATACTAGGTTCTCCTCCACTACTTCGAGCTAGCAATTTTGTTATAACAAGATAAAGGCATACTAAAGATACTATTATCCATTTACGCCATTGATCGAAAATTCCTCGTTGACCCGCAACATTATTATTTGTGTTACCTTGCGGATTATTACTGCCATTGGCCCTATTAAGATTGTTATTAGCATTCTCGGTATGAGCCGCGAGAGTTCCACCTGCAACAATACCTCGCAAAGGATTTTCGTTACGATTATTGAGCCTACGTTGCTGAATTTGATTTCTACCGTCCACTAAAGGAACTTGTTGATTTGTCTCATTTCGTCTTGCTACCTGAGGAAATTGCTTATCATTTTGTGAAATTTCATTTCCGTTTGTTGCAATGTTATTTGATGATGATGAATTATGAATTGGATAAAGAACTTCAACAGGTACACATTCTGAGACACAGAGTTCAGGAAAAATCTCTAATTATAAAAAAGGAAATAATCAAATAATTAATTTAATAAAACAATCATTGAATTTATTCTATATCAATTCTGCTTACGTACGTACCTTTGAACTTTGGATTATTCAGATTGAATTGATGTGATCGTGTAGCATATATTCTTTTATCGGCATCTGTTGTCTTGATACTCCCTGTAGTAGCTTCATTACTGGTCTAAAATTATAAATGCAAAAGATAATATTAATATAGCATAAAATACAATAATTACACATAAGTGCAGCCCAAATGTCGAAATGGAAATGTCTCAAAGTCCTCAAATTTAAATAATAAGATTTCGCGTTGTATTGAATGTGACTTTTGCAAAATAATTTGAACTGCAGGTTTAATTATATAACATGTACTAAAAAAGAATAATACAACACCATGAAACTCAATAATCCAGTCAATATAGTAGGAACACTCCAGGCAGGGTTCCAAGTACTTGGATGAAAATCTGACATAGATAAACATAATCTAGTGTCAGGCTGGAACCGTCCTAATGAACAAAATAATAAAAGAATTTTAATAATAAATTTAATATAAAGATTTATATGATTAAACGTATAAATACCAGAAGGTGTTGTCATACGAATTGAGGGAGGTTTAAAGGGATATTCAGCAGGAAATAATAAGACACCTATAAAGATGATTATACCAATTAAATTAATAACGTGTGTAAAAAATGTGAAGTTAACTTTAAAGATCTTGTAATATTTACCATGATACTCTCCGTTATGATATGGTGTCTCCGGAGGTCCACGAATAACATAATGCCTAATAGAAAAGGAAAGTTATTAATCACCCTTTATAATATCACATTGTAAGTTAAGTAAGTTAAAACAGGTTAATCGATCTCTGATCTAGAGGGAGAATTTATTAGAAAATTACCATTCCAAAATATTACTTTCGAGAGGCTTTGCCATCAAATATGGTGGTGGGTTCTTAACGTTCAAAAGTTAAAAAGTATCAGATATATCTTTCATTACAGTATAAAAGCAAATATAAGATGTAAAATAATATTGCATACTCTCTGGAGGTTATTGTATTCTTTGCTTAATCTTTTAAATGCTGCCTTGGTGGCCATTATTAAGTTTATTCTAATGAAATTATTTCCTGCAGAAAATATAAAAAAGCAAGGTTGACCAAGTTGTATATTATTCGTTCACGTATATCAATTGAAAACTCTTCGGCGGATTCAATTTAATGTCAATAAATTATTTTTTTAGAAAGCCACAAAAGTCAACTATTATGCCGTATTAATGAGTACAACTAATAACATGTGATATAAAACAAGACTTTAACAGTTATACCAAATCAGATTAGATTACGCGTCACGCCCCCATCACCTGTATTCCCATCAAATATTTAATTATAAAAATATTATATATATTATTAATTACTATAATTGTAATTATTTATTTTATAATTAATTCTCATAAAATAATTATTAAAAGATTATTTATAGAAGATCTTATTATTTATTATTAAAAAAAATATTAATCAATTAAGCTAATTATAAAAATTTTAAAAAAAAAAAAAATTGATAGTAAAATTTTTACTAAATATTAATTTAAAACTATTTTAAATAATTAATATCAAAAATAATATATTAAACAAAAGATTAAACTATATAAAAACAGAAATTGATTATAAATATAATTATTATGTTATAAGTAATATATGTAATATATTTAAATAAAAATTTTAAATTTATTAATTACTTAAAAAATATTTATTACTATTGATTTAACTATAAAAATGATCCATTTTAAAATAATAATATATTGATATTACTAAATTTTAAAAATAAAATTTAATCTTTATAAATTATTTCTTAGATTGTTTAATAAGTTAAATTTGCTTATAAGTTTATAAAATATAAAATTTTAATTATAATTATATAATATTATATTTAAAATTTCATAAGTTTATGTATGTATTAATTAAATTAAAAAACTATAACTTTCTTAATAAATTATAAAAATTATAATAATATAATAAATATTATAATATATTATAATCTATATAAAATTATTATTACATAATTAAAAGGTCTCATTTCGATTTTTTTTCTTTGTAAATAAAACTCAAGTTATTGATAAACTCACAATAATATTAAAGTTTTATCTTAGGACTTGTTAGAGCAATTTCAACTTGAGATAATAAATGTCGTTATTCTTTGCAATTGACCTTCTAAGCCTATTCGAAATTTTCTGATATCGATCAGGTGATCAATTCACATAATAATTTTAGAAGACGGACACTAAGCCTGTTCATTTCTGATCATTCAGGTTTTTGGTCGCAAAATCTGTTAACCAATCCAAACATGTAATCAAACTCAGAATTGAGTTGATTGTAAAAAATTTCAATAAAAACCAATCAACCATTTATTTTTGTTATGTAATCAAAAAAATCCACCTTTTTGTTCAGAAAAATTGAATTGCTGATCAAATTATACAATTTCACCTGTCAATAATTATTAACTCAAAACCTGATCAAAAATCTGAACGATCAAAATTAAACAGACCTACTATATATGAATAATATGATTATTTTAAAATGAGTCACGCATGACAAATTGTCACGCTGACCACTTTTTATCATTTTATTAATACAATAGTAGTAACACTATTCTAATTTTTGAGGAATTGTTTTCTGCATATGCCCTATTTCTTTAGTAAATCTAATACTACACTCAACATCTTTTTTGTAACGTTTGATATTCTACGAAGCATCTAACGTATCTTCAAAAATTAGTCAGCTAATAATAACGAAATAAAGCAAAAAAATAAGGAATAAATGTGAGAATATCAATATATGCTTGAATTCAAAGGAATATTGAGAACTTCGTAATATAAATAAATTGTGATCTCTATAACAAAGCATTCCAAGTTTTTGTCCATCTTAATATCATGATTTTAGAAACATAGTAGTATTACACAAAAATATAGCAGCAATAAAAAGTTTTTTACAAATACACAAAAGTACATATTAAAAAAAATTAAATATTAAATTTCTTGTCCTGGACAATGGAGGGGGCATCTTATGTATTTTCTTTTCCTTAGCCTATCCTATATAATAATAAATAATGCAAAAGTTAATATTGTATTCTATTTTTAAATACAATTTTTGTTTATACTATACCTCTTCATCTGAAAAATTAGGTGATTTTGGAGGCAGAGAAGGAGGTGGTGGTATTCATAAAGATGATAATGTTTGTGGTATTTGTGAAACCTTTTGATGCTTTCTTGATACAAATCCATAATAATAGTTTACATGTTTTTTATTATAAAATTATAACATTCTCATGTTCTTTTTCTAGTAATTTTTTGACTACTACCAGAAGAACCACCTTTGAAATCATCTTCAGCAGTGTTGGTAAATGACTTTGAAATAATCAAGATCACTTCAAAAAAGGAAAATGACCTTAAAATTTGCCGACACTGATCTCCAGGAATAGAACTGACAGGAAGAAGTGTATTTAATTTTTTTGTTTTTTTGAACTGCTAATTGTTTGGTTTGCGAACAACTACTGTAGTCACAATAATGTCTTTTTTTATCGCCGGAACACTCATAACTTCCGTTGGCACAATACTTTGTGTTTGAGATGATGATTTTTTAT